ATTAAATGCTTAATTACCTTCACAGATTTTTTTTTATTTGTTTGTTTTTGTCCTTGAGTCCACTTGGAACCTTCTGTGTTCCAGGTTACAACCACTATCGCCCCAGTGAAAAGCTTGGCTCCTTCTTCTAACCTGCCAGTAGACACTGGCAGGCATCTGTTAGGTCCTCCCTAAAACATCTCTTCCTCAGGCTGATAAGCCCAAATCCTCCAGATTTTCCTTACAGAACATTTGGTCCAGCTCCTGACCATCTTGGTGGCATCTTGCTAAATACACTTGCTAAGGTCTGTCTTCATCTTTCATGTATTTGGGGATACAAAACTGGATGCAGGTTTACATATGCAGTCCAGTAAGTGCCAAGTAAAGGGGAATAATCAGTAGCAGGACTCTTATTAATTCAGTCCAGGATGCTGTTGTCCTTTCTTGCTTCCAGGGCACACTGCTGGCTGATGTTGAGCATATTGTCAAGGAAGACCCCAGTCCTTTTCAGCAGAGCTGCTATTAAAGCTGGTCAGTCTCCACACTACATCACTGCAGTGGGCTAGCTCATCTCAGGTTCAGGACTTTGCATTTTTTCTTTTTGAATTTCATGACACTCCGGAAATAGAATCATATTAAATTAGGCTTAGAACAAAGCACATCTAGTTCCTCACCCCACTCAAATAACCAACAGAAATGCTTGGAGCAGAAAAGCAGAAATGTTTAGAATAGGACAACCACAGAATAAGACTATGCGATTAAAACCAGGCAGAGACCTAAAGGCAATCTCTCGGTTTGATTTAGCAGTTCACAATTAAAGATGTAAAGCTCAAGCCTGCAACTTTACATCCATAAACATTCTGTTTTCACAGCCATGCCCTAAAGGAAGGAAACGTTCCTGGGTATGAGAAGAACCAAACTGGTTTTCTGTTTTGTCCATGGCACAATCTGTAAGCAACTCTTAAAACTACCTTTGATATGCTCATATGTCTCTGATATTCATAGAAGCATATGGAAAATGAGATTTGGAAATAGATATGTATCAGAATTTATCCCAGAGGTGAATCTCAAAAGCATTTTTAACCTGCCAAAGAACAGAAAAACCTGGAAAAAATAAACTCAGCAGGCATAACTGAAACTAGTGAACTGACTGCTCTGAGACAAATGCCATTGCAAATGTATAAACGTAGGTATTGGATGGAAAAAAATAAGAAATTTGATGTAGAACGAGTCATCTCAGACTATCCTAAATACCCAGTCTACATGTTTTTGCAGCTATACTACTCTTCCTTGGCATCTTTTAATCCATTTCACTATTCTTTGATACTGACTTTTGCTTTTTATCAAAATACCGTACACAATGTATTCGGGGAGTGGTGTGTCTGAATTTTATTCATTTGTGCAATAGTGACAATAATGTAACTTGATCTCCTATTTCTTAATCATTACACACAGCAAATAATGAATATTTGCAAAACCACTGAGAAATTATATCAATTAAACAGTGGAACATTTGGACAAAGCTATTGCGTGAGGAAAACCGCAGAAGAAATGGGGGAAGGTCTTGAAAGTAGAGAAGGAGAAGAAAAATGTCAAATCCCCCAGCCAAATTTCAGATTGCATGGTGCTTCACTGCCAGGGTGCCAGTACACTGCTGGTAAGCTGTGATTATCACAGACACTCCTAAATAATGCAGGAAATAAACTCAGTGTCTAAATAACAGAACTGTTCTATTTCGTCCCAAAGTGCAGTAACTCATTCTAAAAATGATGGTCTAGGTTAACCTGACTCACATTATCCAAGCCAGCTCTCTGGGTCTATCCAAAATGCACATAAAAGAAGTCTGGAGTGCAAAAAGGTTCAAAGCTTTCTTTACGCTATCCTAGCTGTCACATTATTTTATGCACAATGCTCCTAACTCATGGGTGCCTGTAATACACAAAACTAAAACACAGCACAAGGTTAGTGTTCCCCAGCCTCTAGCCATGTCCTGTTTCTTTCAGTATGAGTATCATCCTACAGCAAAGTCAACTGTGATGTGGAGGAGGCCTTAAGTTGGTGATTAATGAAGTACATATAGTACTTGCAAGTCTGTTCTACATCACATGACCACCGTTAGGTATAACGCACTGCAGAACAAGCTGGTGGGTTGAGGAGAGCACAGGGGATGCACTCAATTGCACAAGAAGTGAAGATCAGGCTCTGCATTTCCTTTGTCTCTGGGCAGGACGAGGAGGGAGAGTATTTTATTTTATTCTCAATCCTAAAGGATTGCTACATAACCCTGTACAAGACGAAAAAATCAAAAATATCATTTGTAGCTGTGAACATAGATATGTGGACTTCTTCCGTGATAATTGCCAATGAAGAAATGTATCTACCTCCTTTGATTATTGTTATTACTTAAAGGTAATTTACATCAGTGAAGAAATGATTGAGAAAGTCACTTTCAAAATTAATTTATTCCTGCATCTTCTTTATGAACGTCTTATTAATGCTTGAACATCTTGGTAATGCTTCACCTTTTCTACCTTAAAAGTGAAGATCTAAGGTAGGTTACTATGATCAACTTCTATGAATAATAAAAAAAAGTAGTTATGTAAATTTCTTGTAACCCCTTATTTAATTCACTTGCATAATTGATTTCATGATATTTTATCAGATTTACCATTTGCTTCACATGCTTCTTATGCCTGACATCTGGAAAATACTTCTTGATGTCTGCCTTTATGACTTTGATATTTTGCTTTCCAAAGTATTAATTAAATCTGTCAATTTTTATGTCACATTTTAACAACTAATCAATATTTTGACTATTATAGTCATTCCTACCGATTTCCCTGGGCATATTTTCTGTTGTGTAACATTGGCTTGAATAATCTCCCCCATGTTTGCCTGAGCTATACTTTCTGTGACTCTGTGGCAATGCTTGTTGGTCATACTCATGATGAGTCTCAGGAGCTGCATTTCCCACTGCGTATGAACTATCATTTTCATAAATTATTTTGGAAATACCCATTTCTATGTTATGGTGTCACAGTATCTGTGGTATGTTTGCGCCCCTGGGAAATGCATTAGAATACATTCATAATATGTGTGTTATGAAGATACTGTCTACCAGTTCTAGTTGTAATTATTTCATGCTCGTAATGTTATGTCCATCAGAGCTTTCACTGAACAGTTCTGACACAGAGATGTAAAGTCCATGTGAGTTTTTATAGTACGTTTTATTGTAGTTGAGTTTCAGGTTGGGCAAAGAGATGACTCCTGGAAAGTTGAAAAAATCAGCAGTAATATTTTCATTATTATTGTTTATTATAACAGATGAACAATAATAGTAGTTTTTCATGTAAAATGTTTAATTACTTTTATTTGTTCCTCCTCATGTGAAAAATTCATCCTGAATATATTGCTTTGTGTTTTCATGACAAATGGCTGTGATAAAAACAGTTACCTAAATACGAACTGTATAAAAAGATGAACTTCTAGAAGACAATGCAGGTGAAGAACAGTGTTAGAAGACAAAGAGAAATGCAATCTCTTGCATTAGCGAGATGGAGATTAGTCAAGTATTTTTAAGAAATCTCTGAAAAATGATGTTACCTGGAAGTTCCATGTGCAGTCGGTTGTGCCTCTCCCCAGCTAGAAGTACACTTCCTACCACAAAAAACTAATTTGTTTGAAGCTTTTGTAACTAGCTTTGCTTCATTCTTCTTCGGTTCAGAGAACAGGATGTGCAAGAAAAGTCTTACAAACCACTACCTGTGTCAACCAAACTACATTTACCGCAATGGGACCTAAATTTTTTTCAGAGATGAATAAAGTATAGATACGTCTAAAAACGTCTAGACAGGACTTCCTTTTCAGAACTTTGCCAGTATTGTGATGTGAAAGTAACATTGTTGATAGTTTTTTAAAAATTTCATATTACAAAAAAAGGAAGGACCATTTTAATTTTTAATAAAAGAGTTTAAAGTTTGAGCTGATTCGTTAAAGCCATCAGTTACTGGCAGTTCTCCCACAGCCTTTCACAGCTGGAGGAGATCCCTGGTGGTGGTGTTGGTTTAGGTCATTGCGTGCAAGAATAAGTTTAAGGAACCTACATAAGGAGGTCTGTACGTGCTTCTGTGGGACAGATTTCAGCTTCATGGAAACACCTTACATTAAAACAGGGTGGGAAAGAGATTTTGGAAGTAGACAGTGAGGAGTGCTGCTTATAGGATTATTCAACTAATGTGAAGTTCATGGTGGGGCTACAGAGATTATTCTTTTGTGTAAGCAGAAGAGTCTTTATTCGTGGACTCCCTCAGTTGTGTCAGACGCTATAGATAGGGAAATGAGTTTTCCTCCTTTTGTAACTACCTCACCACTAAGCTTTGCAGCTGAACTGAATTATCTCAGTTTTTCAGGAGGTATTTAAATTAATGAATTAACACAGGTTACGTAATACAAATCCATGCCTGCCTGGCAGGCTGTGTACCACAGCAAGATTTCCTAGCCCTACAACCCTGCTGTTTCAGGTTTCTAATGGGATGTATGTCTTCCAGACCCTTCTGACTCCAAGAATGAGTTTTCTAGATTGAAGCCTAGGGAAGAAACTTATAAAGTAACAAAAATGTGTTAGTATTTTGTACATGGCCATCTACAAGGCCTCCCACTTACATTAAGTTCTTAGCAAAATCACAGAAAACAACCACCTCATCCAAATTCTTCATTGTCCTTGAGAGCCTTTCCACTGAAATTATAAGGTGCTGCCTTTGGCCATGATGAAACCACATCTATTGATACTCACCTGTCTTTGCTGGGAACATTAGCATGATGTAACTGTAGATCTTGTGCAACTCTGGCCAGTGACGCACATCAAATGGAACTAAACTATCCAGTACAGGCATATTCCTCTCAAGATTTCCATCCTTTCAGTGGTAGCCTATGTGCCTGAAGTAATTCTTGCTATAAAATGCTCTTTTATGTAGGCAGTCTGCTCTTCCTTGCCTTCTGACACTTACACATACAGAAAATTTCAATAATCACAAAGTCTGCCTCTTGACGTGTAGTGTGACCCAAGCAGCTGACCTTTAAGTAAAAAGTTGTGATTGAAAAGGCGTCTTCTTGAAACAAGTAATTGAAACTATCTGGCCTTATTCTTGACATTTATGGTAGCATACTGGATTTTTATAGGAAACATGAAGGGATGACAGGAAACATTTTCAGATGTGGTCATGGACCTCTGAATGTATTTAGAGAAAAACAGAGTTCATAGAGTTCCTGCATATAGAAAACAAACATATTTTTTCACATACTTCTGTATGCACAGAAAGTATAATGCATTTTTCATCTTTTTCAAGCCATATGGCAGTATTCAGGAAACATAATGCTACAGTGTTGGATAAATGTGGAAAATTCTAGTATACACTGGGTTGTTAACCGTAAGACCCACTCAGGCTCAAGATCTCTGTGTCCTAAGCTCAGAAACTTACCTCGAGAAGTGACAGAGACCTTGTGCAAGCCAGTAAGTCCATGTCAGTTTGGATGGAGTGTTATTTCCCCCCACATGAAAGAAAGGATTGTCGGAGAAAGAGTGCAAAAGAGGAGAAAGATGGAAGGAGTGAGAGATGGAACAGATGAAGAATGCAATAGACAGGACTTAACTGGGGAATTGTCCTGACAATTCGTTATTAAAAGGATGAATGCAAATGTGTAATTTGTGTGTAGTGTATAACAACACTGGGTAGAAAGACACAAATCAAAGTAAGATTTCTTTTGTGCCAGAAAGTTATCTGAGCTTCTGCCTACACCTTTTGTCTACATAATCCTATGGGTGAGTGCAGTTGGAATAGAGTAGTTTATGCAGGCCGTAGCTCATAAAGGGGTGCTGCAGCTGGCATTAAGTACAATCACTTCTGACCTTCTAACCTGATAGCCAGGTAACCATTTCTAACCTGGCTGACTGTGGTCAAGGTGTGAGGCTTTAACTCATGCTCTTAGTTCTTGCAGTGAGACCTACTCTAAGTAGATTTATGAGCACTGCAAATCAGAAGATCAACTTTTAGAGTGTCATAAGAAAGTTGAGAATCTGCCTCTTCTGCCTCTCCTGGTTTCTGTGGGTATAATGTCTTCAGATGCTGCAGACCACCAGAGCTTCCCAACTCTCATCTCTGTTCAGGAGCCCTGTTATTAAGCAGAGATCTCAGCAAATGTGTTTGGCCAATACACATCAGTAGTTAGCAAAACAAATAGGATGCTTGAATGCAGTGAATTATGGCTATGAAATAACACAGAAAGTGTTATGGACTCAAGTAACATCAGTTCTTGCGTTGACATGTATTAAATCTCTTTTCAAGGCTCAAAGATTTTACTAATTAAAACACATTTGCAGGGGAAAAAAAAGGAGAGACACTATTACTCCAGATTTTAGTAATGCTAAACACAAGGCTGGAGACTGTTCTTGAGGGGATGGCAGGATAGCACAAAATACTTGCAACAATTCAGAAGGGTTGAAAAGAAAGAAGGGAAAACTGATGTCATTAATGCATTTATTTAGATGGCTGCTTAGTGTTTTAGCTTACACATTTATTAGCTGTTAGTGGCTGGCAGTGACTGAGAAGAGATCTGCATGTTTGAAACACCTTGTGTAAAGGAACTCATGTTTTAGCTGGAGCTTTGAGACAGTAGTGCAATGCAACTGATAGCCAGCAGCAACAGAAAGGTATACAGCTATGATAGGTTGACCAGGAGCGGCAGCCAGACACCCCTCTGCAGCTGCTCACTCACTTCCCTTCCTCAGCAGTACATGGAGGGAAAATAGGATTAAAAATCTTTTTGGTTGAGATAAAGACAGGGAGATCACTTCCAGTTATCATCTCAAGCAAACCAGACTTGACTTGGGGAAAATTAATTTAATTTATTGCCAATTAAAATATATTTAGATAGTGAAAATCAAAAGCAAAAATTAAAGCAACACTTTCCCCCCACTCACCCATTTCTTCCCAGACTTAACTTCACTCCTTGATTCCTGGCTCCTATACCTCCTCTCCAGCCCACGCAGCACAGGGAGGATGGGCAACAGGGGGTTGTGGTCAGCCCATAACAGTTCCTCTCTGCCGCTCCTTCCTCCTCACAATTTTCCCCTTGTTCCAGCATGGGTCCTTTCCACAGGCTGCAGTCCTTCAGATATACCAGGTCCTGCATGGTGTCTCCACTGGCTGCTGTTCCTTCAGAAAATATCTACTAACTTTGGAATGGGATCCTCTGTGGGCTGCAGTGTGGATATCTGCTCCAGCATGGTCTTCTCCACAGGCTACAGGGCAATATCTTCTCTAGCACCTGGAGCATCTCCTCTCCCTCCTTCTTCAGCCTGGGTGCTCACTGGGCACTTTTTCACTTACTTGTTTGGTGTCTGCCCTCTCTTAAATACATTTTCCCAGGGGTGCCACCAGCTTGGCTGCTGGGCTCAGCAGTGTCCTGCAGCAGATCTGCTGGAGCTGGCTGGAACTAGCTGTGTCCCTGGCCTCTTCTCACAGGGGCCACACCTGCAGCCCCCCACTACCAACACCTTGACACCTACACCAACTACAACAACCCAACTGATAACCCTCTCCTAAATAAGAGCATGTCTAAATGCACACAGATAATCCTAGCCACTGTATCTGCCTGGACACCTTCAGGAAACCAGATGTTTAATGTTACTGCAGGTGTGTTTCACTTGTTGAGGGCAGATCGGTCTCATGGGTGTGGTGCCTTCAGCCGAAGGGGAAAATGACACAGAAGCTCAGCAAGGTGGTCTTCCAGGTATTACAGTGGAAGATGGAGACTTACTGTGAGTATTTTAATGTTTTTCGGAAAACTGAATGGACAGACAAGGGAAGAATCATGAAGGAGAACTCTGCAGGCTGTCGTGGGTGACCATAGTCCCCATATACCTGCAGCAGACCAAGAAACAGCTGATGTTTTCTGTTTCTGCTCAAATGTAGGATTTGTTTGAAATCTATCAATTCTGCTGACATATTTTAAGACTTTCTGCAAGTTTTCTCAGACTCCATGCAGTGTCATTTCTGCATTTCTTTAATTCATTTGTGTGCAACATCAAAAAAGACAAGGGAGAAAGGAGTCACTTGCTGGGAAAACCAAGAAAGTAAGAGAACTGGCTAAGCTGCCCACCTCTGGGATCATTTGTCCCCTGCTTCTAGCAGGCATACTGCTTTCCAGGTGGGCCAGCTCTCTGATCTGACCACTATGTTGTCTTCTTGAACCCTTCCCTGCTTCATGCTGTTTCTCATATTCGTTTTCCAGTAAAAAAGAAAGAAATGAAATTAAAAAGTTTGGCGGATGGGTGAGATGGAAAATATTTATTTACTTCCAGCCTGCTCCACCAAAGAGAGAAAAGTACGTAAATGAAAACAAATGGTCCCAAGAGAATTTCACTGTTGTTAAAAAGCTATTTTTCATTTTAAAAGTCACTTCACTGAAAAAAATTTTAAGCATCTGTAATTGCACTTTTGTTGATTCAGAGCCTGCTGAAGCCAGCTGGGAGCTTTCCCACTGATTTCACTGATTTTGGATGGGGTCTCTTATGAGCTAACGATGTGTTGTTGATTTGGTGTTTGTTAAAAGAGAAGCCAGAAGTTTCTGAAAATTTTCCTCAGACTCATTATCCTCCACTCAATTTGTTTCTGCATTTCTCTGATGAATGTATGTATGACATCAAAAGAGACAAGGGAGAGATGAGTACGAGTTTGCATTTCCCTTTCCCAGAACTTCTTGCATGGAAACTTCATTTGTTGTCTGTTGTTTTAATGTATAGCAGGCTCATGTTGCTTTCAAGATGGAAGCAGAGATTTTCATTATTCTATAGGAAGCATTTTCACGGCAAGATCCTTTGAACATTTTCCATTCCAGACTAATGGAGAATAGGAAAAAGCCATGGGATACCATTAGAAAATCTGATTTCATAACATTTTAAAAAGAAGCCTGTCTTCTTTTTAATCAATTTCCTAGGATCCTGCTGAGGACCCCTCCTGACATTTTGTCATCTTGTCAAAAATAAATTTTCTTTTGCCTTTGCTCTGATGGAGGTGGGGCCATTTTTACAGATGGCTTGGTAAAGTGAGTAGGAGCCCAGAAAAAGGGATAATTATTCATAAATGACATTTTCCATTTCTGTGGGTTTTCTTGAACAGGACAGATACTCTAATGTTTGATTCTAATGACAGGGAAGGATTTATGGTCTCTCTGTCTTATCTCCTGGGAGTCTAAATGCTTTACTTTCAAGTCTTCAAGATGTTTTGTTTGGGGTTTTTTTTGGTTTTGTTTTTTTTTTTAAATCCCAAATGCATCTTACTTTATTTTGGCATTTAACTCAAGTCAGTATCCAGAATACTGACCATGTAAAGACAAACTGGACAGCTGCTTAGCTGTCTAACATATGCCTTTCATAACAACCTCTAGGAGCAGAGCATTTTAATGATATCATTTCTTAAGGTTAATTTGTACTGGATTTGGAGCATTCGGTCACGCTGAATGTTTGTTTTCAAGCCCAGGAGGTGTGTGGAGGGAAGCGTTCCCTTCTGGGGCTGTGCAAAGCAGATACATGGTCATGGCAGGACAGACAGATGAGTCACAGGTGGGAAACCATCGTGACACTGAAGAATTTGACTGTAGCCACTTTCAGCATTACCTCAGTTTGAGGAGTCTTCCTCTGCCCACACGGTACTGTTCACTTCTGACTCACCCGCGCTCAGACAGATAAACCTGCGAGTTGCCATATGGAGTCTGTTGAGCTAGAGCAAAGAGTACTTCACATTTCTAGGGACATGCAGTTCACAGGACTTAGCGCAGCTGTTTTCTCCTTCAAGATGTGTGGACTTAACAGCCAAATTAGATCAGAGGGAATCAGATGAATTAAGGTTTAAACATTTGTGTCTTGATTGTGTAGCGCATTGACTAGAGCCATGTTGCACTTCAGGAAGCCTGGAAGGCCTTTGCACGCTGAGCATCTTCTCTGTAGGCTGTCAGTCAGGTCTCATCTTTTGCTCCAATGAAAAGCCTAGCTTTCTTCTTATGGAACATTATCCACTAATGGGTTGAGAATGGTCTAAGTCTCAATGATGATGAATAAGGGATAGGAACTAGGCTGCTGTATAAACGTGTTATTGAAAGGTGAGTTTAATAGAATAATGCTCTCCCCCTCTCTTTCCTTTAAAGGAAATGGTGTATCCAGCATTAAATGGCCTTATGACAGCTACACAGAGGGGACTTTGCTTACTGTCTTGTGCAGAAGGAACTCAGAGATCTTATGTGAAAATCCTGTCTTATCTAGCAGACCTGGCAGAGTCTCAAGAGTTTCCAGTAACTATCCTGAAGGTTAAAGACAGCATTGGTAAAGTCCACTGATGAACCGTGGGAAAATGGATGCAGTCCTGTGTGTCTTAAAACCCTTTCAGAGAAAACCACAGGGCATTATCACTGCTGATTTCAAAGGGGAACTCAGGCAGAATGAGAGAAATACCCACTTCTCCATTCCACGACCATGACTCATTTAACTTTTTCTGTCTCGTCTTTATATAATTTTTTTTTTCTTTAAGGTAATTCTTTCTTCCTCAAAGACAGCTCCACTCCACAGTTTGGTATGTCCACTACGTTGTGATTTTATTTTGATCTAATTGCTGAAAACTCAAGGTGCCCGGAATGTTCTGTTGCCCTCATTTTAAATCTTTTTCGTACATAAAGTACCTGTAGGGTTCCACTTCTGTAACACAATCCTCCTACTTGGTGAAAAAAATGCCTACATGGGGCTCTGCCAAATATGCCATCTTATATTTGACAAAAACTTCTTCTCAGAATTATTTTCAAGGAAAAGGATATGGCTGAAAAAAATAAGAGAGCCAGAGAGTCATAAGCTACATTATCTCTGTGAGAAAGGGGATTTTCATCACTTTCAAAGCCGGCTTCCTACAGCATGTGTGATCAGCACCTGCCAAGCACATGGAGAATGTATGAAAGCAGAATTTTTTCAGTGTTCAGCGAATTAGCTGCTCATGAAAGGAGGCACAACAGCATTGTACTTACTCAAGAAATAGGTGTAGTAAAGACAACCGCAATGCAAAGGTCCCTACTCCTCCAGTGCACTTAACCTGCGATGTATCCTCTTCACTGCTAAGCCACAGAGACGAGCTCTGATTCAATGCTTGCTTCAGCTCTGGGCCCTCAGCTGCCCCTGCCAACCAAATAACCAACTATCAAATTCCCTGGTTTCATGGAAATGCATCTGCAAGAGGCTGGATTGTGCCCATAACCACATTTCACATAAATCACCATATTACCAACAAACACCATTCACTGTTGACGTGAGACAAAATACGTATCGGTAACCTAGGGTCGGCTATCGTTCTGCAGTGTTTCCTGAACAGTTCCTCTGAAACACCAACAGACAAGTTATGCTACTATAGAAAGTGATTATTTTTACACTGACCCTGAAATAAAATTGTTTTAAATACAGGCATTAAAAAAGGCTTTTAAGATATACTGGTCTGCCTTTTTGCTGGATTATCAGAGCAGGCTCTAATGTACAGGTTTGAACTAATATGATTGTTTTAAAAACATATTTTTTTTTTTAGGAAGATTCACTCTTTTCCTCAGATGATGTCTCTGCCCTAAGTGGCTGTGCACTTGCTGTAATGTAGCTATAGGTACCTATGCACGAAGCTCATTGACATGGATGCAGTAGACAGCAAAGCTAGACCACAGCTTTGCTGCTGACAGTCCCTGAGACAGCTCCTACCCCTATCAGCCTTCTTAGGGTGTCCCCTAACTTGTCCAGCTAACATCCTAGTTTGTGCACGGTGAGTTATGCTGTGCAATGAGTAAATGATGTAGCCAGCAGAGGGCAATGAAGGTCAGTTTTTGAAGAGGTTACATAAAACAATCTCAAAGTGGTCCAAAATGTAGGGCAGAAAGGTCAAACAAAAGCATGTAGTGAACTGCTCCTATACATCCATTTCTATTAATTACTATGAGACCCAAGTGAACCCTTGTGATCATGTGATCTATAAATCTCCTTTTTAACGGCCATATTAAACAATGTAGTTCCTTATTTATGACAATGTAATTAATAGTCTTTTCAACAGGGGGGAAAACCTAATAAAAATGGTACTCTCCTAAAATAGGACAAACAGCTTAAACCAATAGCCAATAAACCCGTAGCTCCTCATATAAATCCTGTTTTATTGGTCTGTTCTGGAGAGCAGTTGTTTTGTTTAACTTGATAAACAGGTCATTTTTCCCAAGACAATTAGGTGCCTGGATGAAAATAAGAGAGGGCCAGAGAAGTCAGCTGTTGCTCAGTTCAGAGAAAAAAAGCTGCTTTTTTCAGTCAGATGCAAAGCTCTTTATCACAGATACTAATCCAACATGCTGGAAATAATGTGAATTTATAGTAAAAAACAACCTTTTTTAACTTGGGTGACATCTGCTAGGGACATAACTTACATCTAGGCACTTGGGCAAGCAGTTGGTGCCAAAAGAGTGCAAGCTCCAAGTGTTATTTGCCTCTGACAATCTGGGCAACATCTTTTTGAGCCTCATTGTGGCTCTAGGTGCCAAATATTTTAAAACTGATCTCTTGACATTGCTATGTTAACCAACAAACAGCTTAATAGCAGGAAATGCCTGGAGTGTTAGTGGAAAATTGTATTTATTTATTCTGTGGAGGATCCTAAAGGAGCCCTTCAGGACTGGGACCCTGTTGCAGCTCTGCTATGCTGCACAGAAAAGCTCCTGTGTGCAGCAGACCTGGGTTTCACTACTGTATGTGTCATGCCTGCTCAGCTACCCGGGGTATGTCATTTGGCTTTTCTGTACTGAGCTTCCCATCTCAAAACAGTGTTAGTAATTCCTCCTATTTAAAATGCTATGACTAAAATGACTATATAAAAGCTAGGTTGTATTTTGATAAGCGATAGAAGAGAGAAAGTAATACCTGTTTTATGAATGTGCTGAGTCCAAGAGAAAGGTCCTGGACTATTTGCCTGACCTGGATAGATCTTTGCCTCCCAAAATTTCAGCAGAAAGCTGGGAGCTGTAACTGTCCTGGTGAAATTCCTGTCTGACCATTCAGCGTAACAGAGCCTGGCAAGAATGCCACAGGACCCCGTGCAAGAAAGAAAATACTCCTTTTAACAAGGAAAAAAAATGGAAACTAAAACCTTGTAATGATGATGTGGACTTGAAATACTTAGGAGAAGGAAGAGCAAAGTCCCAGAGGAAAAGGAGGGGTGAGTCACCCGCCTTGTGCTCCCTGCAGAGGTTCCCAGGCGGGGAGCAATCGGCTGGTGGTAAGTGCCCTAATATTCCTGGCTATTAGCGGTAACGATAATTATAAGTAAAGCTCTCACTGCCTGTGTGTACTTATTTCAGCAAGAATACAGGATGTGTTACACTGTGTCAGACCCACTAAGGAGATGTTAATAAGTATCTGTTTGAGTATGAGGTAACTGTTGCTTCTGAGTTTTTATGATGTCTCGTCAGCTAACAGCCAGGAGTCTGGCTGGCGCCAGCTCGGACGTCGAGTGGGATCTACCTGGAGAGATGGCAAATATTTGACTTGGTGCTGATGAGCTAGATTTCAGTCATGGCTCTCTGCTCCTCATCAAGCGAATCGTGGCAAAGGTAGTGGGTGTGTTGGAACCGTGATGAGGCTTCTCTTAATGGCCGCTGGCTTTTACCTTTTCACTGGTCTGACCATTATAATGCAACCAAGACGTTATGTTCGTATGAGCACAAATGAAGCGCAATCACAGAGTGGCTCTGCTCGGGGTTCTACGACTGCTCCCTCAGGAGCAAAGAGATGCTGTTCCCAGGGGGGCAACGTCCCTGGGAGGGTAAGAGTCAGTCTCCCGATGGGGGGCTCGCTGGGGCTTCTTTTTGGCAAATGCAGGCTTCCAGGTGTGCAGTGGAGGGCAGCCTGCCTACACTTCCCCTCTGCTAGGGCTCACTTCTCTCCTGAGTCATCAGGGCCAGCCGAGGATTTGATAAACGTAGGGTTGCCCCAGTTTAGCTGCTGCGCAGTGTTTTAATGGAGTCAGTGCACTGTAACGTAGCAGCACTTCTGCCAGGCTGACGTACTCCACCAGCGTGGATTAAGTGAAATCAGCGAGCACAATAGTTGTAGGCAAGTCACAAATAAATTATATTCATAGGCTTTAAATATTTTATTATTTTTTTTCTGAGGCTAAGAGGGTAATTCAGTCTCCTATGTCTCTCCCACAACACAGACTTTTACCTAGCTACTCCTACCCCTTTGAGGACAGATTTCAGACCTTAAAGAAAAATGCCAGCATTTATTGTTATCTACTTAGGTGTGTAAAATAAAAATCCCTATCTCCTCACCCATTAAATTAATCATTAGGGGATTTTCTTTCACGTTCCTGTCTTGAACTGTAGGAGGAAGAGGAAAATGCTGAAATATTTTTTTTTCTTTTTTTTTTTTTTCCCCTTCTTTGGAGGCATTCACACATTAGAGCAAAATAAAAGCACTAATCAAGGCAACCTTCCTTACTGTTCCTCCCCTCACACCCATTTCTTCCACAGCCAGACCAGCATCAGCTGTCTGGAGAATGGAGGGGACAGGTAGCTCCAAGAAAGGTGGTTTGTAGCCAGGGGAGTGTGGCAGTGGCCTCCTGGGCCCCTCCAGCAGGACGTGGGTGAGGTGGAGGACAGCTCAGCCCTGTGTGGACTCATTGCATGGGCATTTAAGCATGGCAGTGCCCCAGCAGGGCTTTGTGGCTGGTCATCTGGCATCACCTTTGAGTTGCATTACAGATCAGATACCATGGCTGGGCAGTTCCTGCGCCATTTCATAAGAGACCCTGCTGTAGTAAAGTAATAAAGAAAATTTGAAAGTCCTATGAATTTATGGTAAAAGTGCGAGTGTTGAAAGCATTGGGAAGCATGCTCAGAAGAAAGTGAAAGTCTGACACTTTCAAAAAAAGCAAGATTTAAAGTTTTAAAACTTGTGACAGAATCACAAATTCTTGAGGTCTACTTCTTTGTCTACCATTCTTGCTTTGACCTTGGTGAATCACAGCCTGTCTTTTTTTTAGATGTTTAGAGTAATTTCTGGAGCCCTTTTACATCCAATCAAAAAAGTCTTATGCTTAGCACTAATATTAGGATTGTTTGCTCCTAAGATCAAGGTTATACCTTTTGAAGAGAGGAATAGAAAACCACAGAATAAATAATAGATCTCACAAATGAAATGAATTGTTGATTCTTTTTGTATTCAAAGACCTGAGAGTGAAAGCTTAATTTATTTTCTAAGCCATTTTCTGCCACTGCAGCTACAGTCAATGACATTTAATTGAATAAGGTAGAATAATGAAAAAAAAACAGAAGAACAGTTGGTCAGAGAGGTGAATGAAGTTTTCTGTTTTCTACATTAAGGAAACATGAAGTTGACAGTGGTGAAGAAAAACATCTTAATGGAACAGATTTGTTAACATTAAAAGTCTAACTTCTAGAATATTTTTCATCTTGAAAGACCAAATGCTTGCTGCTGTACAAGAATCAGCTGCAACATTTTTACAGATTTCAACAAGGAAGTTGTATGGTTTATGAGTGGAGAAAGCAAGTATAGAGGGGTAAAAATATTTTGTAACCACACTGCAATAGGGAGCTAAGAAGGGAATCAGAGTTTTCTAAACCTGGAAATATTCATAATCAAACATAACCAGTTTATTTGCAGGTAATTGGTATTTGTTTGTGTAAAGAATTCCCTGTAATCTGATAGAGGTACTAGCAATGCATGCTAGCTTTAAAATGAAACTGCGTGCTCTTGGTTTAGGCTTATTATGGTTTATGATGCACCTTTACATTGAGGATGTTCTGTGTTTCTTAATAGTGAATTATAACACGTCTCCTCAGCTGAGAGCAATTGCCCACTCTCTGGTCAAAAGGTCAAAAATGAACTGGAAATTTCCATGTTGATAAGAAAGCCTTAAAACAAAAAAACAGCATAGGTGTGGTAATGCAAAATGTATGTTGTTGTCACAGGCTCTTAGCCAGACCTATTCTGAGTAGATCCTACCT